CAGTGTGCCCCAATATGAAGAGAAACATAAAAGTAGAAAAGTGTGGTAAAAATGTGCAGCCCAGGACCTAGTTCACTCAAACCCCAGGTCTCTGGGCTACAGACTGTTGCCAGGTAGCTGTCATCAGAGCTGCTGTCAGAGGGGTTCTGTGTGTCTGGAGTGCCCCCAAAGGTTCATGTGTGGAAGCTTGGCTCATGAATGAGTGATGCTGGTCCTGTGAACTGGCCTGGGTCTCACAGGAGTGATCTTTCAAGATCAGGTTGTTAGAAAGTGAGTCACGTTCCTATCTGCCTCTCTGCCATATTGTGACACAGCCACGGCCAGGAGCCCTTACCAGGAAGCAGTACCATGCTGTTTCTGGTGGATCTTCCAGCCACCAGAATCATGAGCCAAATAAACCTCTTTACAAAGTACCCTGCCTTAGGTATTTTGTTAGAGTAACAGAGAAGGGACCAAGACAAGGCCCAGTAGGCCTGTCCAAGACATCTGACAATGAACTCTGCGTGCACAGATGGACAGCGTCCCTACAATCACATGGCTGTCACACTGCCATTCCCAACCCTAAGGAGCTCTAGGGTCCTCCCACCTAATACCCTCACGGCTGTGTCTTGAGCTGTGGCACCGCATCTTCACATCCTCACAACTTCATGATTTATTATTTGATGGGGAAACAGGTGGGAAGACTTGCTTCACAGTCACCCATCAATCAGGGCCAGGACTCCATTCCCCATGGGTTGAATTACACCGTGTTCCAGCTGCCCCGGGGCTTCCTATTGTGTGCTCACACACATACATGTCCACACGCACACACATTACTGTGCTCCACGGTGGTGATTATAGCCTCCACCCCACAGAGTGGTACCAGCATAGCCCTGTGTGACTTCATGTGGCCCCTGAGGACCTGTCCACTCCCCACTGTACCCCCAGGGCAAAGACCAGGACCCTGCACATGGCGGGTACCCAACAAGCAACTATCATGTGCCAATCCGTCTAGCCATGGGTGTGCACATGTGTTCTTGTGTGTGCACATCTGTGAGCCTTGGTGAGGGTCAAGGGATGGGAACATATGTGCCCCAAGGTCTGTGTGCTATGGGTGTGGTACACAGGAGAGAGAGAGAGAGAAGGCCCACCCTGCATGCACGGAGCTCCATGTCACAGTGCAGCACCCCAGCACTCACTGAGCAGCAGTAAGACCCGCACGGTGGGAACCTCAGACCTGTGCCTCACACAGCATGGGGAGAATAAAAGGCCAATACCTCCTTCCCTTCCTCAACAGAGCTGCTCCTGGGGCTCTTCCCATATTAATGGCCCTAGAATCACTGCTTCTAGCACCAACGCTCAAGGGCCCTGAGACATCTGTCTGGGCCGCCAGACTTGACGCCCAGAGGGAGAAGGGACTTGTTGAGGCCACACAGGTGCTGACTGCAAAGCATCCCGGCCCAGTCTAAGCAACTCAGCCAGGCTGACTGCTCCCTCCACCACATGGCTCCAGTCCCTGGTGTGCTGAGCCCTCCACCTGCTGTCTGTTGGCCAGCATGGCTTTGTAAACAGCCTCACTCAATTCAAAGCAATTGAATTGGGTGCTGCTCACCCCAGCTGCTGTTGAGGGAAGAGACCCCTGCTTTTGGAGCCACTGTGCTAGGGTCTTCCCAGGGGTCATGCTGTGGAGCTCTTCTGGGTTTCAGGTCATTACAGCCCCCATTCTCCAGTCGGGTGGGCTGTGTGAGGCTCACAGAAGAGGAACAAGCCCTGAGTCTCCAGTGGGTGGACAGAAATAGAGCCTGGCGTGGGGGTGGCCACCCCTACTACAAGGGCTGGGACAACGCATTGGTGCTGGGGCTCTGCTGGCTCCAGAAGCCAGGCATGGGGAGAGGGAGCTGAAGATCCCTCCTGAATCACAGACCTTCTCTACTACCTGCCCCCTTCCCTCAACTGTAGACTGAATGCTGTGTGCCCCAAATGCATGTGTTGAAACCTAACCCCGAAGCAGGGGGAGGGGAGGCGGTTAGGCCTTTGGGAAGTGATTAGGTCATGGGGCACAGCCCTGGTGAACGAGACGCGTGACCTCACAAAAGAGGCCCTTACCTTCTCCAGACAGTGAAGGGCCCTCTGTGAGCCAGGAAGCCGGGCCTCGCCAGCACTGAGCCTGTCCACAGCGGCCTGGAGCCCTTCAGAACAGGAGCAGGAATTCCTGCGTGTGAGCCACCCGGGCTCTGGTGTTTTGTTACAGCAGCCCAAGCCAACTAAGACATCCATCGGGAAACACTGCTGGAGTCCATCTCAGGAGAGGAAACAAAGGAGGGGTCAGTGCTCCCCACCGGCCACTGCTTCACCCAGATGGCTCAGCATTGCCCCAGGTTGGCCTGCTTTTTGTCTCGCACAGCACTGCTCTTCCCAGTTCCCTGACTTGAGGTCACAGTTCGCGTGGCACCGAGGGACTGGCCTGGGGGAGGACAGGCTGCCTTCAGCGCTTGGCTCACTCAGGGCCAGCCTGGTCTCTCCGCCTGCCCTGTCATCTCCCAAACCTGGCCAAGCAGGTGACAGGCCAGTCTCCAGACCTCAGGGTCAGCCCCAGGACCAGGCCCAGCTTCAAAATGGCGCCAGGCTGGTCGGAGGCCCTGGGCCCTGGGGCGCACCCGGGTTTCCTGTCCCAGCCTGCGGCCCCCAACCGCTGGCAGCGGGTTTCCGGCGGGGCTGCGGCCGGGCCTGCACTATCAGCTCGGCCCCAGACGCCCGGCCAGGATACTTGTGGTGAAACTGTGAGGGCGCCGGGGCCTGTGGGCTCTTCTCCAGTGTCAGCCTCCAAGACAAATGGCGGGACGGCGACCCCAACCCTTCTTCAGGCAGGCCGAGCCCACCTGCCGCCCGGCCGGCCAGGCTGCGGGGACAGGCGGGAGGCCAGGCTCCGTCCATGGAGCTGCAGCCGGGCAGCGGAGGCGCGGCTGGGGTGGCCCGGGGGCACAGTGACGGGGTCGCCGCTCTGCCCCAATGTGGGGGCCACGGGGGCGCGCCGGGGCCGGACCCGGGTGGCAGGTGCGAGGTGTCACGGAGCGTGTGCGGGAACGGGCCCGCTGGGTGCTGCGGAGTCTGGGCGGACTCACAAGGGGAAACTGAGGCCCTGCTTACTGCAGGGCACCAGGCCCAGGGAAGCGCGGGGCTGCGACGGCCTGAGCCTGGAGGCCGAGGCTCCCGGGGTTGGCCGGCCGTCTGACAGCCCCAGGCCCTCGCAGCTCGCGGGCGGCCGCTCGAGCCGCACCTCCAGGGGGCGCCGCAGCCGGGACGCAGGGCACCGCGCGGCCTCGGAACTGGCGCCGGCGCGCCCCGCCCCGCCGGCCCGGCCCCGCCCCCGCCAAGCCGCGTCGCCGGCTCGGCCCCGCCCCCCGGCTCGGCCCCGCCCCGTCCTGCCGGACCCGCGGCCGCTCCGCCGGCAGGGGGCGCCCGCGGGCCACGAGATCCGCGCGAGAACGTGGACGCCCCACGCGAGAAGGCACTGCGGCGGGGGGAGGAGGCGCGCACCCGTACCCTAAGCCCCGCCTCCGGGCTTCCAGCCTGGGCCCACTGACAAACCTGCCCAGGCCCTTCTCCCCCGGATCTTCCGTGGACACCTGCGCCTTCCACCGTGCAGGGCAGGCCTCGTTTCCGTCCAGGCCCAGGTCCCCAGTGGGTGGTTGCAGTGTTGCACTTCCAAATGCCAGCAGCATCTGCGCACTGCTGTTGATCTTTCTAAGCCGTTAACAGTGTCCCCCTCCTCATGGCCACTGCCTTTCGAGTCCTCATACTCTCTTCTCATTCTCTTGTGACTGCTGTCCTGGCGAGTCTCAGCCTCCAGCTAGCTGGGACTACAGGCACCCACCACCACACCAGGCCCTGGGTCTTTCCTTACTCCACATCCTTCCCCAGAACTCGCACCCACAGCTTCCACTCCAGTTGCATAGCCATCTTTGTGCCAAGGGCCATTTGTCACTTCCAGACACCCTCTCCTTTGAACTTCAGCCCTGACCTGCCTGTGGACCCTCCCACCTGGATGTCCCAGGTACCACCTTACCTTCTCAGACAAAAGCTCAATTCTGCACAGCTGTACCATCACCTCAACCCACCCCACAGTATTTAAGGGTATGTAAGCCTTTCTTTGATTCCATAACCCACCTTCTACGGTTATTTATGAGCACCTAGCTGCTAACATGAGGATGTCAGACAAAGGCCCCCTTACCAGAGCTAGTCCAGTAACCACATGTTCCAGCAGTGGCAGAGGGTAAGGCAGAATTTGATCCAGTCTGTCAGGTCATAAAAGGCTTTCTCACACATAGCCCAGATGCTACCTAACCATGAGCAGAACCATCTAAGTAAAGATGGACACCTGACAAACCCTTCTTAGCACCGTCCATCTCCCACCTCATCCCTGACCGCACCCATGGGTACTATTGCCCTTGCCTTGTCTCACACCAACCTCTGACCTTCAGTTTTCTTCAGCCAAAATACAAATCTAAGCATGTCTTTCACACATTGGTCGGCCTTCCCTCGCTTTTAGGGTAAAGCCAGAGTGGTACAGATCTAATTCTGGCTTCTCCACCTCTGCGGCCCCGTCACGAACACTCCAGGATCTCTGCACACACAGTGCCTGCTGCCTGGAGCTATGCACCCTTCCACCTACACCACTCCAGGAACTCGGATCCCACCTCCCGCCCCCACTCAGTCTAAGTTCAGTAACTTCAGTCTGTCCCACTGGACGACTGCTACCTTTCTTCCTCACTGGGTGGAATCAGTTTGGAGTCAGGAATTTGCTTCACTCTGATGTGCTATGATAAGCTCTATCATATAGATACACCACTACTGGAATACACCACTGTTCTGACATGTAAAGCATAAATCACACATGCCTTGCAAACTCACTCGAGGAGCAAACCCACTATTTAATGGATAAAAGCACTGTCCCCAAGCATAAGAATTAAGGTAGGAGAGATTTTTCAACAGAAAAAAAAGCAAATGTTCAGTCCCTTCTTTATTTTCATTTGGTCACACACACTTTAAAAAAACAAACAAAAAAACTCACAAATTAACCAATTAGGAAATTAGAAGGCTTATAAGCCCTGAAAAAAATACCCAAGATAGGCTTCAGAAAAAATAATAAACAACTGACTACTGAATGTCTTTGTTCAAAACACAAAGATGTTTGATTTTTATGGGATTTTTTAAAACTTAAAAACAACAGAAAGACCAACAAGGGACAAGAGACAGCTATTGGTAGGGCAACAGCAGGCCCTGGCCTCTCTTCCTGAGGGTCCTCTGCCTATCAACCTGTGCCACCTCCCTCCACTCGCCTTCTGCCCTCTCAAGTGCAGGCAGTTGGTTAATGCCTGAGAATGACCCGGCAGGTTACAGGGCATCCAGGATGTGGTCAATCTTGGTGACCAGCTCTTGGCGCTTTCCTGAGATGAGCTTCTCATTCTCAATGTACGTGTCTTTCTTGAGCTTGCCGGCCACTAGCCGCTCAGCTTCCACTGCTGACTTCAGCACCAGCTCCTTCACCTGTGCGTCCAGCTTCTGCATTTCACTCACCTGACCAAGACAAGAGCAGGGTAGGATTAAGAGCAGGCCTCCCACCACAGTCAGCAAGCTCTACTGTTGGCCCAGGCCCACTGACTCAGAGGTCCATAGACCTGCCCCTGACACAGCCACGAGCACACCTCCCAGGTCAAATGAGTGATGTCTAGAGGAGAAAGGCTGACTTCAATTGCCAGAGTCACTACCTACAAGGTCTGCTCTGCCAAGCTCTGACCTGACAAGCAAGCCGCTCACCATCTCTGGGCCTCATCTGGAAGAGGACTGAGGGTGAAAGCACGTGGAAACACCTGCCATGGCGCCCTGGCACACAGTTGTCCTTGGTGAGTGTCTTTCCTTTCCCTGCAGCTGAGCAACTGGGTCCAGGGATTCAGTTAAGCAAAAGACCAATGGGTGACGTGGGAGGCTGACAGCCAGACTAAACCATTCCCACACCTACTGTGTGCCAGGCAGAACATCAACAGTTATTTATGTTCACTCAACTTTCAACAGACCATGAGAGAGAGAGTGCCAGGCAGTGTCAGGCTCCAGTAATAGTAATTAAAAACAGACAAGGTACTTTGTCCTCACAAAGCTGGCACTTGAAGACAGTTACAGAGAGCGGGAGGTGCTATGAAGAAATTAGAACAGGGTGAGGAGAGGGATGTGGTCAGGCACTGTGAGGGGCACCTCTGTCAGAAGTTACGCCTTCCTCCACAGAGAGGACAGGTGCTAAAAAAGCATTGATGTGCACCACTTTCTTTCACACTCCACTTCAAGGGTCTAATACTGCTATTTTACAGATGGGGGAAATGAGGCACACAAGGTAGGTCATGTGCCCAAGGTTACAAAGTATAAATGCAAGCCTGAGTTTGAATCCCTGATTCTGAAGTCTGGTGTTTTCTTGTTCCCCCACAAGTGCTGGCACCACACAAGCCTACACTGCCTACACTCTCAGCCCTCAGTAGGCAAGGAAGCAGACAGCTACATGGCATTGGGCCTGGGCAGAGCAGCGCGGATGCTCTCAACAACTGGCTACAACCCCCAAGAGTGGGGCATGGAGGCCACAAGCCGAGTTATTCCACACGGCAGACACTCACTCTGTCACACAGATCGGAGCCCTCGGTCTTCAGCCTGGACTGCAGTGCCGCAATCTCACTGGTTACAGCCTTGTGCTCAGTCTCCAGGCTCTTCTTGCCACTGTTGAGGGTGGAGAGGTCCCGGGACTGCTTGTACCTATTGATGGTCTCATCAAAGTGACGGTATAGGCCTATTCTCTTGTTGACCAGGGTCAAGACTTGCTCTGTAATGCAGGCAACCTTCATCCTGGCTTCTGCAGCCGGATCCTGAAGAAGGAAGAGACACCACGTCAAACAATGCTCAGCTTTTTACTTTTTGGCAGTACTGAGATTTGAAGTCAGGGCTTCCTGATTGCTAGGCAGGTGCTCTATCACTTGAGCCACTCTGTCAGCCCCAACACTCAGGTGTGAGCCCACTTTGACCTACCTCCCAAAGGACACTCACTGCTACCAGGAGTCCAAACAAGAAGTCACCTTCTTAGAAAGGCACAATCAAACCCATACTTACACTCAATCAGGACCAGACACAAGAGGCAGAAATGGGGACATACATAAGAAGCAGACACCGCTTAGCAGTTCTGCAAGGCTGACAGGGTAGCACAAGGAAGGACAGTAATGCTAGAGTGTACCATGAACAGACTTCAGCTCCAAGTGAAGGTGGCTTACTACATCTTGCTCCTTCTTAAAACCTTCAAGGGGCCGGGCCCCGGTGGCTCATGCCTATAATTCTAGCTACTACTTGAGAAGCTAAGATAAGAAGGATCATGGTTTGAGGCCAGCCTGGGCAAATAGATTGTGAGACCCACCCCCCTCCCATCTCCAAAATAACCAAAGAAAAATGGACTGGAGGTGTGGCTCAAGTGTTAGAGCTCCTGTTTGGTAAGGGTGCAGTCCTGAGTTTAAACCTCAGTCTCACAAAAAAATAAATAAAAGGTTTCAGTGTTAAAAAAAAAAAAACCAAGCTAGCTATTCAGGAGCTGATGAAGGTAGTTACCCACATGGTAGGAAGTGGAAAAGGTAGAATTTTGAATTTAGAGCCTGTCATATTATAACCTAAATATTAACAATGGTGGAGGAAAACTAGAACAAAGTCAAACAGAAACACACTTCGAATGAACAATGCAGGAAAACACAAGAACCAACCCAATGACATTGGGACACAATACTTGACGAGACATTTTCAGTCTAACAACACAAGAAATGCAGACAAACCCTGGACTTCGCTGGCAGGTTTGCCGTTGGTGGTGTCATGAGTGCTATAGTTCTGAGGTTATTTTGTGTATGTTTCTAGAATTTAGCAAATGGATATACACACTGGTGCCTTGTATCCGGGAGGGAAGGAATGAGGGAAAGCAGGTGAGACTAAAGAGACCTGACCTCCGTAGGCAATGCATGATCCTCAGCTAGGCTCCGGTGTATACAAAGTAACAGTGGAAATTACCACTGGGACAGTGCCCCACATGTGCTGTTCTAACAGATCTTAGCGGCATTCCCATTTGCTGAAATGACTGCTAACTTGTGGTTAGGTGAGAAAGGTTATATGAGAGAACACCCCTGCCGCCAAAAAAATATACATGTATACATACCTATGAAAATGTTAACTCTAAGTGTAGAGTATTTTTACAAAGGTGGAACTATTTCAAACAAATTTCTTTACTTTTCAGCAGTGTGTTCACAATAAACCCAGGTCAGCTTCTGCAAAGGTAACAAGGCTAACCAGCAGTCTCCAGCCACCTACCTGGCCCTTAGGCAGCCATGGTCCTCTGTGTTACCAGAGTCCACACCTTTGCTTGAGTGGACCATGTTGCTACCCACAGGTGAAATCTCTCCCTGTGTCCCACAAACAGCCCTTCCAGCTGGAGACCCCTCCCTCTTGCCCATCACCTCCTCTGCAGGACAGCTGTCCCATCATCGTGGTCCCCCACCCCTAAGCTCCACCAAAACCACAGCCTGCAGCTGTCACCTTCACCACCCTGGTCCTAGTGCCAGCTACAGCTGCCTCACTGGAGGAGCCTGATGACTCCCTCCTGCCAGACCATGACACCTGCTATTAAGTGTTTAGCACAGGGTAGAAAGCCCTTAGGAAACAATGTTGGTAATAATAAGAAAGGAAAGAAAAAGCAGCTGGAGTGGTTCCAGTGGTAGAGCACTATGTGAGGCCCTGAGTTCAAACACCAGCACCGCTTAAAAAAAAAAAAAAAAAAAAAGACAAAGGGCAAAGAGGATGAGTGAAGACTCTATGCAGTGCTGTGCAGCCCTGGGAAAGGCCAAGAACCACGGAGTATGTTCGTCAGTGTGAAGAACTCCAAAGAAAGAAAGTTAGAGACAGGGCCCAGTTGGCAGTTTCTGCTGAACTCTGAAGTCATCTCCCCATAAGCTCCTCCCATAGGGGAGGGGAGAGAAAAACAGGTGAAAAACCACAGCAACCTCTTAATGATTTTCTTACCTCACCTGAGCATCCAAGACAGGTCACAAGGACTTAACACCACGTGCTGATGACCATAAGCATCAACACAAAACAGTGGGCTGGGCAGAGGCTCAATGGTAGAGGTCTTGTCTAGCATGCACAAGGCCTGGGCTCCATCTCCAGCACCACATGCACACAAAAGTATCAACAATAAAAATTAGCGGAGGCCACAGGCAAAGTAAGGTTGAGTCCTGGCCTGGGCTTGCTGCGAAGATCACGTGGTGGAACCCATTACTGAGGTCACAAAGGATGGACTAACAAAGGCAAGAAAAAAGTGGCAAGGGCACCTTGGTGATGGAGAAGTCCAGGCGCACATAGACGATGACAGTGAAGAACAGGATGTAGAAGGCAGCCACCACCAGCAGGGGCTCCTGCAGCATCAGCACCTTGTTGAATGTGTAGTGGACCTGGGAGAGAACCAGGAAGACAGGTGGCATCAAGACACCAGAACCTGAGGCACAAACATGCCCAGGCAGGCCCACTCTTCCACCCACTGCCCCAGAGGCATCCAGGCAGCTGACCAAGGGTAAGGATGGGTCAGTCTATGGCCCCAGACCCACGGCCTGGGGAGACATGGAAGGCAGGACAGTGGAGTCACTCACCACAATGTCCTGAATGTGCTGTTCAACCAGATTTTTCTTATAGGCAACAATAACAGGGCGGCCAAAAGTGTCCAGGTAGGTGTAGTGCAGCTCATCTGGGGCACGGCTGATTTCATAGGGACTGTCAACTTGGATGTTCCTGGAGGCAGAGGAAATTCATTGTAGCCTCAAGCTATCTTTACTGACAGATTGCAGAATTCCAAGACTAAGGGGCTGTCCAGGATCATTATGTTCACACTCCTCCACCTTCTTGAGCCGGCCAACCCACTGCAGAAAGCCTTAAGTATGAGACTGAACATCTGTGCAACAACAAGGTGCCCCCGTCAGGTACTCCCAAATACCAGCCCCACCCCTCGGGGTCACCCAGTCGACACAGCTCTCCAGCATATCCCACCCAGTCAGAGTCTCAGTGACTTCAAGCGTCCATTGGGAGTCATTCCAAATGCTTCCTCGTCACACAAAGGATAGCCTCCTACAGGGCTAGTGCACATGTACTGCTCACCTGCCCCAGCCTACTGTCCCCTCTCCTATTAAACAGCATACCCTAGTTCAGTTATGATTGGAGGAACTACGCCTCTGAAAAAAATCAAGGTGCACCTCTTCTTTTGGTGACAAGAGGACGCACAGCGACATGAATCTCAATCTAAAGTGAAGTCACACCAAGACTGCAAGCAGGTCCTTTCACTCAGGACAAAGACAGGTGACTCTGTGAGTGCCCAAGCGTTCCCACCAAGTGCACTGTGCAGGTACCCTGGCTCCTTCCTTTCCAAAGTGTGGTTCTTCAACTTATGCTGTCATTTATGAGCTATCCCTTTCCCACCAAGCAGTCCACTCTGCTCAAACTGACCAAGGACAGTTCCTCCTGTTTGTTTACAGAACCAGATCCCACTTTCTGAATGTGGTCTAACAAGCCCAGGACAGAGTGGAGCCACAGCTGCAGGTCCACCTGGTTATCTTGCCTTTACATTCCTTCCTGCTGCTATCACCCCATCACTGTGGTTGTTGAAGCAACTTTGGATATTGTGCCTGTTTCACGAAGGCATCTTTTCAAAAGATTTCACAGATAAATTTTGTGCCCTCCCCTAAGTCTAACTTTTCTTTTTAACTTTCAGCCAGAAGTTCCCTAGATGTTTCTTGGCACCTAGTCTGAACCCCCAGACACGGGTCCCCTTGAGATGGCAGGAGGCGCCGCTGGAGAAATGGGTGCAGAGGAGAGGATGTTCACACTCACTTGGCCCCCTCAGGCAAGATGATCTTCACCGTCAGAGAATCTATTACTTGCTCATCAAACACGTGGTCCACAAACCTCATCTTCAGTGCATACTGGTCACCTGAAGAATGAGCAAATACAGGCGGCGGTGTGAACAGAAAATGGGACAGGAAATGGGGAAGGCAGAGGGTAGGGCAGTCTCCACACACCAGGGACAAAGGAGATACCATCTAAAGCTCATGGATCAAAAGATGCTAGGAGACAAGTGGTGGCAGCACAGCTTTTCAATCTTCTCCAATTCCCACAAAGACAGAGCAACTGACAACAAAACCAAAAAGACATAGGCCACATTTACAACAAACTAGGCAGCAGCAATGTATCTCTATAATCCCCACAACAAAGGTCAGAGTGGACAAAACATTAACAGCCACGAGCCCTGAACATTACCAGTGTCTGTGAGGGAGAAAGCAGAGGGAAGCAACAGGGTGACCTGCGGGCCTGAGGAGAGAAGAACCCCAAGAGCTGACAACAGGTGTCCCCCAGAGACCAAGACAGGCCAAAGGGAGGAGAGCAGTTGAAACCCCATGGAGTCATGTGCCTGCTTAGTGGGCAAATGAGCCAGGCCTGCAGAGGCCCTCAAGTCTGGGCAGTCGAGTCCCTGAGAGCTGGGAAAGGCCCACCAGAGAGCCTACCCTGAAGAGAAACTAAGTAGAATCAAAATGGAATCTGGCAGGGACAACAGAGCCACTGGGAAACCCAGAAGCAGGGAAGGTTCAGAAGGCAAGCTACATGTTCCTGGATATCACTCTATAGCAGCAGAAATCCGGGAAGTCATAAAGACTATCTTAAACTTCACACTAGAAACAAGCAACAGAGAAGGGTGAGAGTGCCTACTAACAGAAGTGACATAAGGATGTCACTAACAGAAAACACTCCAAGAAAACAACGAATGCATGCCAGAAAGAGGCACCCACAACCCCAACATAAACTGCTCCCACTATCCCCAAACTAGCCAAGACATTAAGGAAATGACAAGTCATGAAAGAACAATATAAACCAGAATTTAAAAACTGATTGTTAGAAGTCAGGGGAAAAAAAATCTAGAAATAAAAGAAGCATCTTAAAAAGGCTAAATAGAGTTAAGAAACAAACATAATGCCTTATGGTAACTAGAAGGTGAAAGAACAATTTTATTTTATGTATTTATTTTTTTGGTGGGACTAGGGTTTGAATGAACTCAGGGCTTCATGCTTGCAAAGCAGGTACTCTACTGCTTCAACCACACCTCCAGTCCATTATGCTCAGGTTATTTTGGAGATGGGGGCTCAAGAACTGTTTGCCCAAGCTGGCCTTGAACCTCAAATCTTCCTAATCACAGCCTTGTAAGTAGCTACAATTACAAGCGTGAGCCTCCGGCACCTGTCAAAAGACCAATTACAAAGAAGGAAAAGATTCAGGAGAAAGTGTCATGTATGGAAGATAAGACCCAACACAGAAATAATAGTTTTCAAAGGAAAAAACTTCTAATATGGTTTGAAACTCCAAACTGAGAGCATAATGCAAACCCAGACAGGTGTTGCCAAGCTAAGATCTACTAAAATGCCAGACTCTAAAAAGAGAATAAAAAAGAGCAAGGGACAAATGAGGGTGCGATCAGATTATCAGGCGCTCTGACAGAACTATTTATTGCGCTTCAAAGAAACAATATAGGAAATATTATGTACTCATGTATGAAAATGGAAAAATGAGACCTGCTGATGCTATTCCAGGAATGGGGGGTTTGTAGGTAAAGAAGAATGATGGATGGCTGAGTTTAACTATGATACATAGTAAGAACTTTTGTAGATGTCACAATGTACCCCCAGGGTACAATAATAATAAAAAAAGAAGTAATGTATTTAAAATACTTAAGGAAAGAAATGTTAAGTCAGGAATTTCATATTCAGCAAAGGCAACTTTTAAGTGTAAAAGGTATATCCTGGGTTTCGCTTATGGCTCAGTGGTCAGCGCTTGTCCAGCATGCACAAGCCTGGGGTATCATCCCCAGCACAGCGAAAAGAAAAAGAAACAAAACAAGGCAAACAACAGCCCCTCCTGAGGAACATGTTTGAAAGTGAGCTTCAGACAACCAAAATGGCAAGAGGTGCCCATCGCTGAGGGTGGGATTCAACACATCCCGAGCTGGAGAACCAAGGCTAGAATCTGAAAGGGCCAAGTTACTACAAATGGCCGCCTGTTCCCATGCTGTGCATACAGCACACCAAAAAGAAGGGGTAGCTTGTGAAGACATTTGTTTTTAACAAAAATTCTGAGTGAGTTGTGCAACAAAATAATGGAACGTTGTAATTCTGTCACCCTGTGTTCTTCAGAACCAAGATTTTCAATATGAAATTAGATACATTTAAAATACAAGCAAAACGCGACTGAACTCATACATGTGACATAACTGCCGAGTATAAAATTAACCAAGCATCACTAGTTCTCTTCTTTTGGCCTTAAAATATCACTCTCCACTAGATGAAACCAGAGCTCCTTGGGGAAATGGCTGATCCTTAGTACAGAGCAGACCAGAAATGTCTGTCCATAAGACAGGGAGGAATCTAAACAAGATGAGGGTAATGTCACGAAGATTCAGAATTTAATTTGAAAAGGAGCCTACTGGCTGAAGACATTATAGTATGAGCATCAATTACAACAGCAACTGCAGAGGAATGAGTTAAACAACAAAATGTTTAAATGTTAAGTAAATAATAATTACAAAAAAAAACTCAGGCTAGAGTGCAGCACTCGCCTAGAAATTTACAATGCCCTGGGTTCAAATCCAGCACAACAAACTAATAATAATTTAATTAAATTAAAAACAAGAAAAACACTATTTAGTCACCTAATAAGTAAGAGCATTTATTCTGCCTTTCCTGCATTAACTGCAATCCGGGGAACTAAAGGGAAGTAGATGAGGGGAGGTGTCTCATTCAGCTCTATCTAATAAATGAAAAAAACATGCTACAATTAGAGCCGTGACTTGCAGGCACCAGTACCACGTGATGCCTAGGAGCTGAGCACCACAAAGAAGACAGCACACACCACGTGCACCTTCTAGCCAGAGGACACCTACCACCCTCCAGCCTGAGTCTGAACAAGTCTCCAGGGACAGTTGCTAATTTGCAAGAAATATAAAAGGCAGAGGAGGATACTCACTGAACCCTGAGTGCACCAAGCAAAATTAGACAAATTGTAAAGAACACAGACAGAAACAAAAACTAAACATTAAGAGACCAAGACAAACTGAGTATTTCTTAAAAGGGCAAAATATAAATAGTACCTAGAGAATGGTACATACACAGAGGATAAAACTGAATTTAAAAAAGTGGTAACTACAAATTAGGATACTTATTTTTTTCTGGGGAAGGAAAAGATACATGGACAGCCTTTTGAGTAGCTAGCAAATTTTGGGTTTTTTGAGAAAGGGTCTTGCTATACAGCCCAGACTGGAACTTCCAATTCTGTCTCAGCCTCCCTGGTGCTGGCATGCACCACCATGCTGGCTTTTTGTTGTTGTTGTTTTTTGATACAGCTTCTCACGATGCTGCACAGACTGGCATCAGCCTCCGGGGCTCATGTGATCCTCCCACCTCACCCCCTTATATAGCTGGGATGACAGGCATATACCACCATGCATAGCTACTCAATTTTGACTTCTTGATCTAGGTGGTGGTTACGGATATTCCTCTTAGGCCTGGAGTGTAGCTCAAGTGATAGATGCTTGCCTAGCAAGCATGAGGTCCTGAGTTCAAACTCCAATGCCACCAAAATAAACAAACAAAAAACAAAACAAAACAAAACAAGCCCCAAGATATTCTTATAGTACATTTGCTTGGTGTGGGATTGGGTTGCAATTCAGGGCCTCCTGCTTGCAAAGCAGGCTCTATACCATTTGAGCCACACCCCCCAGTCCAAAACTGTTTTTTTTTTTCTTTCAGTACTGGGGTTTGAACTCATGGCTTACACCTTGAGCCACTCCACCAGCCCTTTTTTGTGAAGGATTTTTTCTAGATAGGGTCTCACAACTGTCTGCCCAAGCTGGCTTTGACCTCCTAATCTCTGCCTCCTGAGTAGCTAGGATTACAGGTATGAGCCACCAGCACCTGGCAAACTGTTTCTTATTCTCTAAATTTTTCTTTATTTTTTAGTAACCCAAGTTAATGACTAGGGTGTGGCTCAGAGGTAGAGTTCTTCCCTTAAGACATGAGAAGCCTGGGTTCAGTCCCCACCACAAAAATTTTAAAAATAAAGAAATTTTTAAAAAAAACTCAAGGCTGAGAGTGTGGCTCAAGCAGTAGGGTGCCTGCCTAGCAAATACAAGGTCCTGAGTTCAACCTCCAGCTACCCTCCGCCAAAAAATAAAATCCTCAAGTTAAAAACCACTTAAAAATTTAATCAGCTCTGTCTAATGGTTGAACTGGGTGTACAAAGAGAATTTTTACTGCGCTGTTTGAACCGATTACCAGATGCAAGCACTTTCACAACAGTAATTTATACCAACCCATAAAAGGTGTTCCTGGCATCTCAGCCTTCCTAAAAATGACAAGAAGGGCTGGTAATTATGAGATTACAGAAAAAGTCAGTCTTCTCCCCTACAAATTCCACTCTGTTGCATGAAGACTCACCTAGATTGTAGAGGTACTCGTAGCTTGGGAGGTTGTAGCCAACGATGTAATGTGTCTTCCAGCCACCGAACAGAGGGAAGCGAGGCCGGATCTCCATCTCCACAGAGTCATCCAAAATGAGCAAGTGACTGGTGGAAACATTGCCAATCTCATCCCGGTAGTAAACATCCTGGGCTGCAGCAGGGAGGATGGTCTGCAACACAGTAGCCGGTAGAGAGGCTGTGGGGAGCTCTGCATGAGACTAGCCGAGAGGAGGAAACTGCTCCAGGATCCTCACTGCATCTAGCCTAACTTCCCCTGAGGTTTCAGAATTTCTAGAAATCACATCTACTTCTCAATCAAGGACACCAAGGAGACATTCTTTTAAACAGTAAATAACTAAGACATTTCCCAATGCTTCTGTGAATATTCATGGCTTAACAGATAAAAACAAACATGCATGCAAGTTATTCTGCAAAGAAACAAACTACAGATGGAAGAAATTACATCAAATTAATTACTAGGTGCATGGTTTATGGAAAGGATCTCCCTCCCTCATATTTGATAATAATGAGGAGGGGAAATGTAAAATTTGTGTTCACTTAGAGAGCCTTCTGTAATATGTATATATGTGAAAACATTTGTAAGATTTCACTTTTAAGACATAAAAAAGGACACAAAACTATGAAGTTTCATTAAATGCTCTTTAAAACAGCATTAGGAAAAAGAAATACATGAAAATGTCAGCAATATAGTGTATAGGGGGTAAAACTATGACTGTTTCTCCTTTCTCTGTTGGAGGCAGACATGGGGATGCATGCCTGTAATCCCAGCACTTGGGAAGGTAAGGCACGAGGATCAAGATCAGACAGCCTAGGCTACATACATAGCAAATTCTAGACCAGCCTAGGCTGTGTAGAGTCCCTATCTCAAAAACAAAGCTACTTGTAGAAATGAACTTTTTTTTTCATCTCACAGATAAACTTTATTCATGCCACACAGTTAATGGTTCTCCTATAGGTGTATAGTAATATTCAAGTTTCCATCAAAGGAAGCTTACTTCAATTTACAGGCAGAGTTGGGTGAGCCAGTTAATGATGACCATGAGCAGGTGCAAGTGCAGGACCTGAGACTTTAAAAGCTTTACTTCTTTTACTAGCACCCTAATCTTATCAATGATGAAGCTCATCAACCCCATTCCTGCACAGATTTCCTGGAAGCCTGGGTATAGTAGAGCTTCATGGAGACCCAGACATTTTTAACAATGCTTAAAACACTGGGGCAGGACCAAGGGCTCAGGAGATCCCACAGCTGACTAGGAAAGGTCACTGAGCGCACAGAGGGGAACATTTTTTGATTAACACCATCAACCAATTACTTGACCATCAGTTAATCCCACACAGCTATCTATATTTGGCTAGTGTCAAAAATCAAGAGACAGAGCAGACTGACAGTCAGTTACCCACAACGTCCATACCTTGAAAGAACGGATGGAGGATATCCCACTGTCTGGCTGCCTCTGGTAATCGTAACGTGAGAAAGGCCCCTTGAGCACAGCCCCCGTGTGCTTCAAGTCCACATTTTCTTCCACAGCAATATTACCCCAGTGAGAGACCTCAATGACACGGGTCATGCTGGTGATGGTCAAGAAAGGGCTGTTGTTTTCGTAGTGTACTTTAAAAGTATCCTAGAGAGGAAGGAAACAAGCAATTCAAAGTCTTGGCAAAAGAGAAGTAAACAGCAGTTAAGTCAAATTTGCTGGAGACAATCTGTACGTCAACATAATAGTTTAATTATGAAGTATCTAATGTATGTAATTAACTACTAAATATAATTCTTTTTTTTTTTTTTTGAGACAGGTTTTGCTTTGCAGCACAGGCTGGCCTTAAATTTGCAATTCTCATGCAGCCTCCTGAGTGCTGCTAGTATTACAGACATGTGCCACCACACCTGGCTATATGCAACATTTTAAAATGGCATACTACGACCTTTTGCTGACATGTGGAGATAAACATTCATTGGATGTTCACTGGATGGCTGGTCAAGTGGCTTAAGTGGTAAAGCATACTGCCTAGCAAGTATGAGGCCCTGAGTTCAAACCTCAGTATCACTAAGGCAGAAAAAAAAAGTCCATTAGAAAAACAGGATACAAAAAATTGTCTAAGTTCCAATAGGCACACTTCTTGTATTTTAAAAGTGAAAACGTGCACACTTTACTTATCATCTTATAATAAGAATATAAGATGGGCTGGTGGGGGAAATAATACAGTGGCAGAGCACCTGCCTACCATGCAGGAGGCCTAAGTTCCAACCCCAGCACAGCAAAAACAACAACAAAAACCAACAATATAAAGAAAAGCTGGGCGTGGTAGCTCATGCCTATACTGCTTGATACTTGGTGGGAGAAGATCAGGAAGATCATGGTTCCAAGCCAGTGCAGGCAAAAAGTTTGCAAGACCCTGTCTCAACCAATAGCTGGGAGTGGTGATGTGCACCTGTCATCACAGCTGCACTACCCCAGCTATGTGGGAAGCATAAATAGGAGGATTGTCATCTAGGCCAGCCTGAGCAAAAACCAAGACCTATCCCAAAAATAACTAAAGCAAAAAGGACTGAGGGCCTAGCTCAAGTGGTAGAGCACCTACCTAGCCTAGCAAGTACAAGGCCCTCAGTTCAAACTCAGTACTGGAAAAAATTTTAAAAAAGAAAAAAGAAAACAAGAAATCAACACAGGTGGGAAGCCAAATTACAGATTACTTTCACGTTTTCTTTGGGAGTTTTTACATTCCAAATTTCTACAATAAGCTTTGAAAATTGCTTTTTAATATATTTTTTTTTAATGGCTGGCAGAGTGGCTCAAATGTTCGAGCAACTGTCTAGCAAGTGTGAGGCCCTGAGTTCAAACTTCAATACCGAAAAAAAATTAATTTTTTTGAGTAAGAGTCTCACTATACAACCCAGGCTGGTCTTTCTTCTTCTTTTTTCTTTCTCCTTTTATAATTTACTTACATGACTGTTTGTGCCACCTCCCCTCTCACCCCAGTCTGGTCTTGAACTCACAATCCTCCTGCCTCAGCATCTGAGTGCTGGGATCACAGGCATCCACCACCATGCCTGACGTATAAAATGTTCATGTTTTGATTTGAATTTTAAATTCAGAGAGGGGGTATAAAAGGAGAATGATGGAGGGGGTGAATTTAACTATGATACATTGTAAGAACTTTTGTAGATGTCACAATGTACCCCAGAACAATAATTAAAAAAAAAAAACAGAAAATTTAAAATTCAGAAAATCTACCCTGAGAATATATAGTTATATGTAAAAAGAGGTGTATATTATAATGTTAAACAGAAAAAAAAGACTAGCTGTCCATGCACAACAACTTTGCAGATAACTTGTAATACAGAAATCAGTGTTCAGCCACTAAAATGGTTCACAAAGGTAATATTGTAATGCAGGAATGTGTAGAAAATATTCTAACTTAAAAAGAATTCTGTGGTACTTCAAACGTTATACAGTATCCATATTAATAATACAATCACATGGGAGCCGGGGCTCAGCAGCTCAGTAGCGGAGCATGTGAGGTCCTGGGTTTGATCCCAGCCCCATAAGAAGAGAAGAAAAAGAAGACTCCAGCAGAGAAAAAAAAAACAAAAACAGGATAGCTGAAGCAAACATGGTAACATGATAACCACAGAATCGAAGTGATGGGTGTATCAGTTTACTTTCATCTCGGAAATTTTCCACAACAACAAAAGCAGTCTGAACCGCTCCCTCTTCCGACAAGTCCCAACCCCAAGGCCCTGGACACCTACCTCAGTCATACCACAGTTTGTCATCCTGTCCCCTTATTACCCGCCAACACCATGCTTCCATCTGCCCCGACTCCCACTCCCCAAATGCTGCCCAGCCTCTGTCTGGGCTCTCAAGAGGAGGATGACCCAAGGGCCACTTCATAGCAGGTTAAAAACAACTTCTTCTACCAACCCCAACACCATCCAAGCCCATCAGCAGGGATCACTCTGCAAGACAGTCTCTGCAGCAGGCGTCTGAGCTGAATGCCACCTACCTGACTATAGGCAGGTATATCTCTGAAAGGTCCGTAATCCAGCAGATCCTCAGAGCGTGTGGGGTTCCCCAGCTTGGTGTAGCTCTCCACATTTCGAGAGGCAAGTTTCACACGCATGGTCTGGGTCTTTGTTGGGTAGGGAGAATAGAAGTAATGGTTCCCTTCAAAAACCACGAACTGTTTCTCTGACTGGGTTATCTGGGTTGGATATGGCTGAAGCACATGGGTATAGACCGCCTCCACAATGACTGAAATCTTGGCCCCAGGATCAAGAGCAACTGGGAGCTTGACAGTGAAGAATCTCCCACTGAAAAAAGAAGGAGAATTAAGAAAGATCAAGGAGACTAAAAACAAAGCTAGCAGTTCAAAGTCACAGCAAAGTTCTGTGCTCAACAGAAAAGCTATTACCTTCAAGAGCTCACCATTAACCTATCAATGTAAGTTTTCTAAGACAAATGTCTGGATGATCACCTCAGGTTTGTTTATAATAGCAAAGAATGTAAAACAACCTAAAGCAGGGTTAAAAACATTTCAGCAGAGCCACACAGTGGAGTATCAGCACCATTACAGATATGCCTGGATCCCATACTTATATTAATGGAGAAAGAAGTGCACAAAATGCCAGAAATGGAACCAACTGTATAAATGACCAAGCAGGATTCTACTTTGGTTTTATTTTTTGTGTTTTGGGGTTTTCTTTGTGTGTGGTGCAGGGGATGGAGCCTGGGGCCTCAGGAATGCTAGGCCCATGTTCTACCCCTAAGCGGCACCATGGTCCCAATTCCATTTTTTAATACATAACAGTGTAACAAAATGTTAATGGTAACTGTCTCAAGGTAGGAGAACACTGCTGTTCTGTAAGTCTGCATTGTTCTCACAATCAGAAAAAAATGGCATTTTAAAGAGAACAAAGATAGAACTGGAAGTGTGCTTCAAGCACAAAGTGCATGCTTCCCAAGTGTCAAGCTTTGAGTTCAAATCCCAGTCCCACCCAAAAAAAAAAAAAAAAAAAAAAGCCAGGTGGTGATGATTTACACCTATAATCCTAGCTACTCAGAAGGCTGAGATCTGAGATCAGGAGGATCAAAGTTCAAAGACAGCCCAGGCAAACAGTTCGAGAGATCCTACCTCCAAAAAAAAAAAAAAAAAGCACCTGCCTAGCAAGCGTGAGGCCTTGAATTCTAGTTTAAACCCCAGTACCTCAAAAAAAAAAAAAAAAAAGCCTGGAAATTATTAAAATTTACAAGGTATTACTAACTCTATCACTCTAAATTAAATTTTCTAAGCCAGGAAACAGATTTCTATTAGACACAAAAACCTTAAAAAACTGAAGGCGTTTTAACATGCTCCCATGGAATTTGTCCTCAAAGATTAGAACATGGATGACTTTTCTTGTATGACCCTATAGAACTCACACCACACACTAAATACACTCAAAATACACTAAGTTCTACATCTCCCCTCAAAGCCAAGGGAGAAGTTCTTGGCCCCAAGTCTCAAATCTGCCTCTCACTTTCCTCCAATGCCTGAGCTCTCAACTCAGCTTTAGGCAAGTCAACACCCGAACCATCCAAGACCCAACTCCCTGCCTCAGTTAAAAGCACTACCATCTAACCAGCTGAACCAGAAACCTCAGGAATTTTCTGATGTCTCACTACCCTGTCCCAAATATCTGGCCAATCTTGCTTTAGAAACACCTCTCCAATAGTGTGTTAGCTTACCTTTTACCCTTAACTTTGGTTTCTCGAACTTCCAGATTGTTCTCTTCCTCGTCTTCTCCCTTTACCTGTAACAGAAAAAAGCAGTTATTCTTTTTTATATCTTTTTTTTTTTTAATTGCAGTACCAAGGCTTGGTACTACACCTTAAGCCACTCCACTAGCCCTTTTTGTGTTGGGTATTTTTGAGACAGGATCTCACAAACTATTTGCCTGAGCTGGCTTTGAACCAAGATGCTCCTAATCCCTGCTCCCAAGTAGCTAGGATTACAGGTGTGAGCCACCAGCGCCAGGTTCTTTTTTATATCTTTTGGTTTCTAATTTTTGAGTCAACAAGGTATGCTAGGCAAGCCTTTTACCACTGAACTAACCTTCCAGCACCAACAATTTTTTTTATCTGAGCTATAAGATCATTGTCAAAGACTTACTGTTGAACAGAATAGCTCTACAAACACATCTCATTTTCCTGAACGATCAAATCATACATACAAAGATTAATTTCCAAATACACCTCCCCAAAGCTTGAAGCTTCTTTTTCAACACATTCTTCCTTACATTCAAATATACAAAAGCACAGTATATAAATAGCATTTAATGATACAAAAGAAGTCCCATCCATGATCCAGACTGTTTTTACTCCCAGGAAATAACAGTAGCAAAAGCCCTTAGGGAGAAGGAACCAAGAGCCCTCAGTCCTTTACTCTTCCTTCACTGCCACAGGATAACAGGATGTTTACTCAGCAGGCTGCAGAAGCTTCCTGAGAAAGAGCAGACATCTTGAACCATAAGAGTGTGAAGCAGACTATAAGCGACATGTATGTATGTAACACAGATCTCTTTAACAACCCAACCTTGCACACACACAAAAATTTAGAACCTTTTTTTTTAGTACTGAAGCAGTGATTCCCAGTAGGGTACACAAAGCTATAAAGAGAAATTTTGTGTGTGATGATGAGACTTGAACCAGGGTCCTATGTACTTCACCACTGACCTACACATTTAGCCTAAGATGTATTTGTATAATCATCTTCAATAAAGTACAGGCTAAGTAAATGACAAACTGCATTACTTTGACTAGAATCTTACACAAAGGTAACATTTTAGAATACCTGTACTTATTAGAACTCTCTTTAATATACAAGTTGATTTGGCATAATAAAAAACATTCATTATTACTTAATAAAAGATGAGAGGCAAAATACAGGATCCAAGTGAGAGAAAAAAATAAGGGTCTTTTGTGATTAAAAAATAAAAAAAAAAGCAGGGGGAGGGGGAGGGCATCAAACCAGGTGCTGGTGGCGTGAGCCTAGAACTCTAGGTACTTGAGAGGCTGAAATTGGGAGGAGGGTCGTTGGAAACTAGCTCAGGCAAAAAGTTCTCAAGACACCATCTCCAAAACAACCAGAACAAAATGGGCTGGAAGTGTAGCTCAAACTGTACAGCACCTGCTTTGCAAGTGTGAAGCCATGAGTTCAAACCCCAGTCCCACAAAAAAAAAAAAACTAAAATAAAAATAAAAAGACGGTCCGTTAGCTCCTAGCCAATCATCACACAGTCCCTCCTACCAGCTCCTATTCTGCGTGGGTTCAAGGTAATCCATCGAAAAAAACTTCACTTTCTTTGCTAAGTTTATCATCCAGTGTTTCCCATCAGGATAAGGGGCGTAATACAGCACATACACCTAACTGGTCTCTCTTCGAGTCTACAGAATTACTTCGTGATTGTGAATAAATCTGGTGACACAAATACAGCCCTATGCTCAACACAACCCTACCTCACAGACAAAGTGGGAAAAGTAGAGCCCTGGTTTAGGCCTCACTGGGAAACCTCATCTGCAGGGTGAAAAGCCTCCCGGACTAGACTCCTCACCTACATGAGAACACCAACACCTCACCTGTCTGCTGTGAGGATTAAAGGAAAATGTACTTATCCGGAGGGCTAAGTGAAAATGTACTTAAAACACCTATCATGCCTGACTCAAGGTAGATTTTCTGTAAGTGTCTTTCCCCACACACAAAAAGCTCTAGGGGGCGAAAGGAAACTGGAGGTGACGGAGGTCACCTGGAATGTGATGATGCTGTACATGTCCAAACTCATCAAATCGTATCATTAATTATCTGCAGTTCTGTGCACCAACTACACCTCAGTAAAGTTCAGAGAAAACAAAACTTAAAGACATAAATTAAGTCTCCAGATTCTTAAGCATTCTGTAAGAAGACTGCATGCCTGACTTTTACAAAGAATGGGATTTAGCAGTAAAAACATTCAAAGGTGGCAGCCCACAGTGGAATAAAGTTTGCCCCACCTTCCCGTAAACCTTCCACTGTGGGCAAGGCATACAAGGGAACAGGAATCATTTCAGAACCCTCTCTACAAACCCATCTTTATAGCTCCACATTCAGAGAATAAGCTGTGCTTTCGGGGTGACACTGTAATGACTAGTCTCCTCGCAACAAGTAATTGGGTAATCACTTAATGAATAGTTTAATTGAAGTGACAATAAAAGCAAACCTCTGCATGTGGACATCCCTCGAGTCCAAAGCCACATTGTTTCCTTAAGAGCTGAAATGTGTTCACGTAAAGCCTGCAAGGATATAGGTCAAACCTCGGAGCCATTTACTGCTGAGGTGCAAGAATGAGAAGCAGTAGGGGGAGGAAGAGGGACTTCACCTTTCTGTACAGCAAGAAAGGCTCCTATTGCTTGCAGGAGCTTTACACTAACCGGAGGTGTTAGGTTAGCAGGGATTTCAGACGATTGCAAACGTGAGCGCCAGAAACCTGTTACGTTTCTGATGGCCCCGGATTCCCAGGGCCGCGCCTACCACCATCAAGCCGCGAACTGCGGGAGTGAAATGAATTGTAACTCACGTATTCGTCTCCCGCCAGGGCTACCGCGTCCACGCCTAAGAAGTCTGGCGCCCGCCGCTGCAAGGCGAGGACGCGATCGCCGGCGGGAGGTCACCAGAGCGGCCCGTGGGACAGCCCGACCCGAGAGAGGGTCGCCGGGGGCTCCGGGAGCTGCCACGTGGGCGGCGGCCCGCGCCGGGGACTTGGTGCTGACGTGTCCCCGGCGGGCGCGGACCGCGGACAAGCTGCGGGCGCCGGCTCCCGGCGGACCCGGGCTCCCCGCCGCCCCGCGCCCCGACCTCCCGCCGGCCGCACCCAGCTGCCCGAGCTCCGGGTCCCCACAGGCCGAGAGGGGCAGGGCTCGCACTCACCTGCACGCCGAGGTGCGCCAGCCGCGACTCGAGCTCGGGCTCCAGGGCCAGAAGGAAGAAGGCTCGCGGCGCGGAGCCGCCGCCCGGGTGCGCCAGGACCACCTCGGCGGTCACCTTGGCCAGGTGGCTGCTGAGGTCCACCGTCCGCTTCACGTCCTCGTTGACGAGCGGTGGCGCCTCCGAGGAGGCGGCGCTCAGCGCCGGGGCCCAGGCCCCGAGACACAGGAGCAGGAGCACACCGGCGGCGGGCGCCTCCATGACCTGACCGAGCTGAGCGCCGGCCCCGCCCCCGCCACGGCGCAGCCCCTCATTGGCTGACCGGAGCCAAAGATGGCGGCGCCAGGCTAGGAAGGACCCCGTCTCCAGGGTAACCGGGCGGCCGCAGGCGCCTGACTGCAAAGCCGAGAGCGCGGCCGCGATATGCCGCTCTTGCCTTCCCTCTCCTCCCGCAGTAACTCTGGGCTCCGCTCCCCGAGACCAGACAGAAGGTGAAAGTTTGCTTTCTCCAACATCCGCCGATGCATGCTGAGGTTAGCGGAAAAAGCTTCAGCAGAAGCAGGCCCCTCGCAGGGTCTCCAGCCGTCTCCCTAAAACAGTAACTGAATGGGGAAGCGTGGGTTTACATGTCGAGCCCAGTCAGCGCCGCCTGGACCGCGCGGGCTAACGGCGGGCCTGACATGGGGCACCTGCGGCATGGCCCTCAAGAAGGAATGGCGGGAACTGCAGAGTGAGATCGGCCTCGGTCGGGTCTTTTGTCACTTGGGTCTTTTGGACCCAAGGCCCAAACTCCTGAGATTCCACCCGCCCCTACGCGCCAAATAGAGAGGCCTGGGGAAGGCAGAAAGGAGGGGCACGCCGTGGAAGAGGCGCCGGGAGCGCCGAGCCCAGCTCAGCCATCTTCCGTACAGGCATGAGCTGTGGGGTTAAATAGAAGAACTGGGGCGGGGGACGAGGGTATACACGGACAGTCTCGGTCACAGCTGTAGTCGAGACTGGCTGAGCAGCCTTGGTCAGGCAGGTGGTCTGGTCCAGTTTTGGAAGTTACCACCTGGAGGAGTGATCTGGTTCCTGTTTGAGAAGATTTTGGGATAACTGTCCTCACTGGGAGGGTGGCAGCTCCGGGTGGCTCCAGTTCATTGTCATAAAGAGATTATCAGATCCGTCCGTCCTTTCTGGAATCCAAGGTGATCGCAAAGTGACTAAAGAGAATGGCTTAGCGCAAAGGCAGACAATAAATGGAGACAGAGGTGATGCCAAGCTTTTTCTGTGTTTAATTTGTGGGCTCAAGTAAGGAGTCAGTGCTTTTCAGCAAAAGCAACTTGAGCACCTCTTTCAGTAACTTGCTTCCCATACATCGCTTCATGGACTCTGCTTAAATTCATAAAAGTTTCTGTTAAGAGCAAAGGGTTGTTATCCTCAGTTGGGCCAGGGCAAGAATTCTGCTAGATGCCCTGTATCCAGAGCCGATAACCAAAAACTGTTATTGCTTCCTGAACTTTTAAACTTCTTTGTTCCCAAAGTCCCTTCCCAACCTGGCCCCTTTCTTATTAGCCAACCACATAGACTGTGATCTCAAAACCTGCCCAATCCAGGGGCAGAAGAGGGACAGCATGGCGTCAGAAAAAACCCCTGCAGACCTTCCACCCAGTGTGCGTGCCTCCTAGACTTCTGGTGTGCACCCTTCTGCAGAAGTAAATATTGCCTTGTCTGTTGACTTCTGAGTAGTATTGTCTCTCTCATGATACCCCAATATCTTAAAGATGTTTCTAACAACAGCCCAACACAACCTAAACACAGACAAACCAAATGAGACATCCCACCAAATAACCAACTCCCGTGCACCTGCCTTTCTTTAGAGACTGACTCAGCCCTTCCCCTTGGTGACGCCCACAGGGTCTGTGGTGCAGGAAGTTTCCATGTATGTGACAACAGCTCTTCCTCCTACCAGCAAATCAGTGAAGCCCCCTTGGGATTCCCCAATTTGAGAAAGAAAGAGCTCACCATACATCACAGGAAAGAAATGGTACACTGAGCTGGTCACCCATGCTTGGAAGAGCATTCTTCACATCCAAGTTCCTATTGAGTCAAAGCTCTGGGTGGCAAGTGACAGTAATACGCAGTATCAGCTGGCATTACAAACCCCTAAACAGTAGGTCAAACCAGAAGGGTGCTTATTTCTTCTCATATAAAAACTGTGAAACTCAGGAACCTAGGTTCCTTCAACATGATTGCTTAACTCGGTAGTTTGCATTTCACCATCCAGGATGGCTACTCCTGGCAGCTTTCTTGGTCTGTTTATTTTGCCTTAGCAAAATACCCAAGCCTGGGTAATTTCTATAGTAAACGTTTCTCACAGTTCTGGAAGTCCAAGGTGAAGGTACTGGCAGGTGAGAGCTGTCTGGTGAGAGCTGCTATGTACTACCAAGAGGGTGCCCTGATGCTGTGTCCTCTGAGAGAGGAATGCCAGGGCTCACATGACAGAAGCTATACCAAGTCCTTTTATAAAGGCTTCCAGTCTCACCCATGAGGGCAGAACCCTCATGACCCAGTCACTTCTCAAAGTGACACCTCCCAATACTGTTGCTTGGAGGATTAAGTTTCAACATAGATTTTTGGAGGGGACAAAACCACTCGAACTACTGAGAGAAGAGGAGGGGGAGGAAAGAGCTTGCTTCTTCCCTACAGAGTAGGAATCAAAATTACCACCTGCAGGCCAGAGAGCTGTTTCTGTAAATAAAGTTTTATTGGAACACAATCACACCCATTCATTTAGATGTGGTTTATAACTACTTCCAGACTACAAAAGCAAAAGTTGTATGGTTGCAAAACAGACTATATGACCCACAAAGTCTAAACTACTTACTGTTTGAACCTCTTTTTTAAAAAGTATGCTGAGAGCCAGGCAAGATGGTATACACTTGTAATCTCAGCACTCAGGAGGCAGAGGCAGACGGATCTCGAATTCTAGACCAGCCTGGACTACATAGCAAGATCCTGTCCCTAAAAAAGAAAGAAAGAAAAAATATGCCCATCTTGTTTTCTCTTACTATATAAGATGTCACCAAGGCAAAGCTGGGGAAGGAAGCCAGGGACAAACTGGCAGTTGTGAAGACTGATGGTCCAAGTTTAGAGAGAAATTTTCACTAGTTTTTTCAACTCTTCTATAAATCCAAAATTCAAATTTAAAGTTAAAAGATGAAGTTACCATTAAGAGTGTGGAGGTATGTAATTTGAAAACCTTAATAAAATTTGGATCTAATTTTATAAAAAAAAAAAAAAGTGTGGAGGGGTTGGGAATGTAGCTCAGTGTTACAGTGCTTGCCTAGTATCATCAAGAGGCTGGGATGTGCTCAGTGGTAGACTTATGCTTAGCATTTGCAAAGCCTTGGGTTCAATCACCAGCACTGTAAGTAAATAAATACATTAATTAATTAAATATACAAATAGCCAATATGGATGATACATTAGTCAGTTCTCTACTATAAAAAATTCCCGAGATGATCAACTTACAAAGAGGAAAGGTTGGCTTTGGCTCACAGTTTCAGAGGCTGCAGTCCATGATCAGGTGGCCCTGTTGCTTTGGGAGTGGAGTTGCACTGTGTATTGCCACAGGGCAGTACATCATGTTGGGAGCACGAGGCAGAGCACAACTGCTCACCTAATGGCAGGAAGCAAAAGAAATGAAGAAGAAGCACTGGGTCCCACTGTCCCTTGTTAAGGGCACACCATTAGTGATCTAATGATCTCCCACTAGGCTCCACCTCTTAAGGGTCATACCATATCCTCACAGCGCCCATCCGGGGGTTCCATGTTTATTCAACACGTGGGCCTTTGGAGGACATTTAAGATCAAAACTACAGCAGATGAAAACGTACACGGTGTCATTATTAGGGAAATGCAATTCCACTTCTAAACATACACCCAAGAGATGCAAGCACATGGGCCCCAGCTACATAGACAAGAATGTTCACTGAAGCTTTGCTTGTAATGACCAAAGTGAAGACATCCTGCATGGTCACCTATCAAGAGAGGCTAGGTAAGAGAAAAAAAATAATAAATTAAAAAAAAGAGAAGCTAGGTAAACACAACAGGATCAGCCTACTTCAGCAGAAATGGTAAAGGAGGCCCACCCACAGTCCTCTGCTCCATGTGCAAGGAGAACACCAGTAGGCATGGGCAACATTGATGTTTCCAGAACTCTGAAAATTGACCAAACGATTGTAACCAGAAAGCAGTTGCTGAATAAGAAAAACAGCTGAATTTCATTAAGAGCAATGATTTTAGTGGTGGATGGTTTTGTTTTTTATTTCTTTGGTTTCTTTGTTTGTTGGTACTAGGATTTGAACTCAAAGAGCCTTGAGCTTAATAGGCAGGTGCTCTACCATTTGAGGCACCCCCCAAACCTGTTTTGCTTTTAGTTACTTTTTCTGGTAGGTTCTTACGTTTTTGCCCGGGGCTTGCCCCAGACAGGACCTCCTACACCTTCTTGATCCTCTTATCTATGGCCTCCTGTGTAGCTGAGATCACAGGCATTTACCACCATGCCAGGCTTATTGATTGAGATGGGGCCTGGATAACTTTTCACCTGGGCCAGCCTCAAACTACAATCCTCCTTATCTCTGCTTCCTGAGTAGCTGGGATTACAGAAGCCATCCACTGCATCCAGCCTTGTTGTAGGGGGTTTTTTGTTCTTTTTTTTTGATGTGGGCTCTCACTGTATAGCCCAGACTGACCTCAAACTCTTGATCCTCCTGCCTCGGCCTCCCAAGTGCTGGGATTACAGGTGTGCACCATACCTGATATTTTCACTAGCCTAGTCCCATCTCTCTCTCAACCTGTGAGACCTTGAAAAGCAAGAGACTGACAATCCTGGTGGAAAGCAGCCTAGCACCCTCTGCAGGGGACACAACAGAGGGCTTTCTCCCCAGCTCAGTACTCAGGTATCTCATTATCTGACTGGCTGGTCGTTTCCTGGAAAATCCCACTCACTGGTTTGTCTGGACCTGACCTGATTCAGCTCACCCACGATGAATAGCCTGCCCCAGAAGTATTTGTTGAAACAATTTTTTTTTTTGGGGGGGTATTGGGGATTGAACTCAGGGCCTCATGCTTGCTAAGCAAGTGCTCTATCACTTGACCTGTGATCCCAGTCCTACTGGGTTTTTTGTGTGTATGTTTGGAATACAGGCTCACTACCTTTGCCAAGTCAGGCCTCAAACTATTTAGCCTCCTCTATCCTCTACCTCCAAGTAGCTGGGATTACAAGTGTGCACCACCACTTCCAGCCCTAAAGCATCTTAAA